CACTGAGTCGGGGGTGCTCTTGGTGGCAACCACGCCCTCCAGCACGTCGAAGGCCGACTGGTCTGCCTTGTTGGAGAGGCCCGTGGTCAGCGAGCTCTGCAGCGCGGCGATGCTGCTTCCGTGCGCGGCCACCTGCCCGTCCGTGGTGGCCAGGGCCGCCGCCGTGGCACGAGGCGCAATTGCCGGCGCCAGCGCGCTGCTGTCCAGCTTGGAGGCCAGCTCTGCGGTGACTCTGTCGTCCAGGGACTGGATGGCCGCCGCGTTGTTGCCGGCGGCTGCCGTGTTCACCGCCAGGTCCGTTACTTGAGCGTACGGGGTGAGAGCCAGGGCCAGCTGTCCTGCTGTGACGTGCGTGCCGTCAGTCACCTCTCCGTTGTCCAGGACCTCCGGGATATTGCCGGTAACAGGTCCTTCAAACATGTTTACATATGTTATCGCCGACGCCTTAGTCCAGTGGATAAGGCGTCATTCCTGCCGCGAGCGCAGTTGAGTACCATTCAGTCCGAACTCCGGCCGTTCGGAGAAGTTTCCCTCGAGGTCCCCTCACAGGCGTCACCGCTTGTTGGTGTGTCAAACACACCAACCCCTCTTCGGCGCCAGCCGCCAGGTCGTGCCCGCTGAGCTCCTCTCCGCTCCGGCGTTTCGACCCCTCCAGAAGCCCGCTAGTGGGGATATCGGGGACGTCCTAAAAGCCATTTTGGCCAACCAGGAACAGCAAAGGGAAGAACAACACCAGGCCTCTGCGGCCCTTTTCACCGTGGTAGGAGGGCATACTCAGGCCTTGCATCAACAGGATACCCTGCTCAATTATGTTGCAGATCAAGCCCAGTCTGCCAAAGACGCTGCCCGTGAAGTGTCCACCCAGCTCCAGGAGACGGACCGCAGCGTCAAAATCTTGGGGGACAACGTGCAGGGGCTCAACGCCCGCCTACTAGCAGTCGAACTGGACTCACGGAAAGGATCAGCTTCTACAGCAGTATCACACCAGTCCGCTCGTTCAGCCGGAGGTGATGACCCGTGGATGCAATTCCGCATGAATGCCGTTTCACAGGAGCCACAACCTAAGGGGGCGGGGAGGGGCAAGTTCCCTGGTCTCACGGTTCGCTCCCCTGAAGACGCCACTCAAACCATTGTGATGGGATCATGGGCAAAGGACACTCCCCGGGACGTCATTCATGGAGACATACAGAAAATTCTTGATGCTTTCCCCCCGGAGGTCAAGCCTTTTGTATCTCGCTTCAATTGCCCGTCTGTCAGGTGCACCTACGCATGGTTGGTGTTGGACGGGCCCTCGAATGTGCTCCGCACTCGTGCTTTCGCCGTGATGAGAGCTGTTCGGGAAACGACCCGTAATAGTGATGCCATGGCAGGCAAACCCTGGGCCTCCTTTCCCAAGACCCCGGAAGAAAGAGCACTCGCTGGATGGGTTGCTAGGGTTCGCCGTTGTCTCACTGCACTTGGCGGGACCCCTGACAGGATCGAGTGTGATCATAAGCGAGGAATAGTCTGGATTGGGGACACCCGGGTTGCCGAAAGATCCGAGCACTTTCATGTCAAGGATAACCCCGCACTCAACCAAGAATCTGTCACGTCGATCCTTGGAGTCACCCCTGAGGCCTTGTTGGCCGCATGGACCACTGCGGCCCGTGCACGCTGACCCAATGCTGTCACTACCTCGCCGTCCACGAGGCGCGGTAGGGTGAAGCCGTTCCAGGCCTGTTCGTGGAACCTTGCTCGAACTGCTATTGTAGCTTTGTTCCATTTCTTTACGCACATTGCCCTCGGACATGACACGATGCCGCTTTATGCCTTCCAGGAGCACTCCTTTTTTCCGGAGGTGAAGCCTACCCGGCACCTGTTGCTTTGGGAGCAGTGGCATGTTGTTCGAGACTGCGGCCAGGCCCACACTTACGCAGGCCTTGCTATCTTTGCGCACACCGCGCATTTTCACACCCCCACTGAAATTGCCACAGGCACGCAATGGCTCGCATGTACACTTAAATGGAGACATGCGGCCACCGGTCCACTCTTACGCGTTTATTGTGTCCACCTTCCCCATTCTGGGAAAACGGACTCTCAGATGACGGCTGCTCTCAACTCGCTTGAACAAGACGTTGAACTCTACCAGCACTCTTGCCCGGTCCTGCTTTTAGGTGACTTCAATGTCCAGTTTTTCCCCATGAACGATGCTCGTAACCCGTGTTGGGTACCAGATGGAAACCGCGCTGCTAAGGTTCATGCGATCTTGGCTTCGTTGGGCCTTGGATTTACACCCCCCCACCCTCACGTTCACACCTGGATCGCATATGCTCAAGACGGCGGTGCCTCCTGCATTGATTGGATCGTCGCCAGCGGCCTTACTTTGACCCCACTTCAGGTCTGGCCTGATTGGAACTATATTGTTCTGAGTGACCACCGGCCAGTGACGGCGTGGGTCCAAGGCCCGTGGACTGTTTCCGCCCCTCCCCCAAATCTTCCCCCAGATCTGACGCCTGCCCGGAACCTCACGGACAGGTTGGTGATGGACACCCCCGATGACCATGTGGTACTTTCACAGGTTTCCACACTGTTGGACCCGCCCACACAACCCTCTCAGGTGTGTTCAACGGTACTCGACCCTTCAACACAGGAAGATGATCTTGAGTATACGCCGTACCGGCCGGACGTGTCCCCGCCTGCATTGCCTCAGTCACATGAGTCCAATCACTGCATCAAGCTTTTTGGACGAGTTTGCTTTCCCGACGCACTGGTGTCTCCGCCCTTCCGAGGTGATTTCTCCGCTCAGGCCACTACTATGATGCACCTCGGGCATGACACTCAGGACTTCGGGGCCGTACTTCAGGATCAAATCCAGCTCTTTAACCAATGGGCCACCCCTCGGCGATTCCCCCCGACTTGGACAGAGCTTGATGCCAGACTTGATGCTTTGTGCAAACGCAGACACCAGATGACCTGCCAGCGTTCCCATTCCCTTTCACCCCCCCCCGAACTCGGTGACCTTGAGAGAGAGATCGTGACGCTCCGGACTATCCGCAAGGGACAGAAGCAAGCCATTGTCATGCGTGCTGCACTCAGGGATGAGCCTTGGGCAATCGAAGCTCTCACTCGTGCCAACCGGTGGGTGCCCAGCCCCAAACAAGGATTCACTCTCCCCGGGCCCCAGGCACAATGGAGACAACAAGTCCAGGACTATTTTTCGGCTTTGTTTACACCGAAGGGCTTACCGGACCCTCAACATGACCTCCACCTTGTGCTTGATAGGTTGGCGGGTCTGGACGCCACGGTCGAGCCGGCCGAGATTGCACCGGTCACTTGTTCGGAGGTCAAACAGGCCATCTCTCGACTCAAGCTCAGGAAGGCCGCAGGCTCCGATGGACTCACCAGTGAATTTTTCATCTCGCATACAAAAACCAACCTCGTGTGGTGGGCACAATTTTTCACGGTCGTCATTCGTGGCAGCATTTGGGACTGGCCCCGGCTTTGGTCCATCAGTGTGGTTTCTCTCCTCCCAAAGGTCCATTCCCCGGAACACCCAAAGCAATACCGCCCCCTCTCTCTTTGTGCTGTCAGCCTCAAGTTGTTTGACTATGTCCTGCTAGGCAGATTGCCCTCGGACTTCACCGCCCACACCACTTTCCAACGGGGAGGAGCCGTGGTTGGAGGCCAAGTTGGTGACGTAGAAAGACAGAAGTCTATGCCAATGCCTTTGTAGCCGAGCCCACTTCACTCCTGGATCTGCAAGGAAGCAAAGTCCTGGTTGGCAGGTGCTTTGATACCTTCACACATCTTGGCTGCAAGTTCAACATGCATATTGGTATACGCGCGCACTATTCTTGTGCCATCCGAGTCCAGATGCTTACTAAAAGAGTTTTCGCCAAGCTCCGGTGGATCATTGGAGGCTTGCCCCTCTCCAAAGCGTGGGTGGACAAAGTGAATGGTACCCACCGCCACATGCTCCGCACCATGCTTAAACCCCACAAACTTGCCACTGAGGGATGGCGGGAGCATACTAGACAAGCCAATGTACTAGTGGACCAACTTCTCACCACAGCCACGCCTTGGTACAAGGTTGTCATCTACACGCGGTACCGCTGGCTTGGTCATCTCCTGAGGAGTCAGACCGGCGCTGGCCAGCTCTTGAAATACAAGCACATGCTCTGGTGGCGAAACCAACAAGCCACGGAAGCCAATTTTTCCTTCAGACATCGTTCGCGGTTTTGTCCGTTTCACCGCAGCGACTACGAGCTCTTTATCTTCTTTTCTGAGGGAGTATCAGTTGCTGATCACCTGCGGTTCGCTTTACCCTCTCAGGATGTTCTCGATTACGTCTCACTGGCCCAAGACAGGCTACACTGGAAATACTTTGAAGCCAGATGGATTTCGTTCTGGAAGCAGAGATATGAGCTGTGAACGTTTTGCCCGACGCTTAGTATCTTGGCTTTAGCCCTTTCAGCTTGGTTGCGTAACATGCGCCTTCTTCAGATTTCATGCTATGATCTATGCCAGGTCTGCCCTCATGAGGCTCGGCCCTCAGAGGTTCCATATTCTTCGCACTGCGGTGCCGTTGGAGTTTCGCTTGGCTCTGTTCACTCATGCCACGCTTTGGTTCGTTCACGACTCTTCTCTCTCTTTTCCTCTCTCCTTTCTGCCCTGACATTGTGTTTGCTCGCTATTGTCTGTACATTGACCTTTCATGCCTGGGCTCAGAGCTTTTGTTTCAGTTTCACCGTTTTTTCCCGCCCTTCAGCCATGACGGATTGGTGGACACAACCCGACTATTACCGTAGGATCAATTATGACTTAGATTCTCGGGATGATCCGTGGAACGCGGGCATTAGCTGGGGACAGTGGGACTACGCCACCGCTACGCAGTCCCCCGACCCTGGCACACAACACACGCAGCCTGCGGTTACCCAGCAACCAACGCCGTGCACATCACAACACCCGCCGGCGCAGCCGGCGCCCCGGCCCACAGCCCCCGCGACTACGACGACCCCACAGGTCCCTGAGCCACAACGGCCCGCTCCGTCACCACCTACCACTGCTACACCCACAGTTTCACCACCTGCACCAACGCCCAACCAACCAGTTGCACCGCAGCCCCCCATTGCTGGGGTACAAGGTAAGGGACTCTCACCCATCGATGCCGCCTGTAGTGATGGCAAAGGAATGATGTTCAAGGGAAAGGATGGCAAGGACGGCAAAGACGGCAAACATGGCAAGGACTTTTACGGCAAGGATGGCAAGGACTTCAAAGGCAAGGACGGCAAGGGAGATGGCAAGGTCGGCAAGGATGGCCAACAGGGGAAAAATGACCACGACACGCAGAATCCTGGGGCCAACCCCACTCCAGGCCCCGCCACTGCCCCCCCGGTCACCACTACGACCAATACGATGCCGGCACCGTCGGCTCCCGAAGCCCAACCTCCACAGCTCCCCGCCAATGCATTGAGCCGGGATAGCACGACCACTTCTAACCCAACCACCCTCGGCACTCAGGCACCTCAGATGGCACAGTCCACCCAGCCCACGCATCTCACCCTGCGGTCACACTCTGGCCCTGAGCCTACCACTGACGCATTCTCGCGTCGAGGTTGGCCCTGGCCTGTCGACGTCGACTCGGCGGCACATCCCGTATCGGCGATGATTGCCTTCCAAGTACAGCAGCTTGAGTTACAGCTGCAAGACAGCCGGATCCAACAACGTGAAGGGCTTCGATCGCTGCGGCTGGCCAACCGGGCATGGCAGCGTGCAAACCCCCCCGCGGGCAGCACGCTCAATCCAGTGCCACGTGAACTCGTCGACGAGCTCCTCTCAGCGTTCCAGGACCATGAAAACCAGGTGGTCAGCTTAGTAGACCGTGTGCACGCAGGCAACGCCAACCTTACGGCCGATGACGTGGTTTCGTCGTTGCACCACATTCGATTGTCAGCTTCCTTGCTTCGTAGCACCTTGGTGCGCGCGGCGGGTCAGTGACTACCCGGCATCACCACCTTGAATCGACGGGCGTGACAGGCCCCGTCTCACCAAGCCGGCCACCCCTCTAATCGGGCCTCATTTGTCGTTTCACGGTTTTGGGCAGAACACCTGATGTGCTTCACCCACGTCTCACCGTGCGACATTGGTCCCGACATGTGATTACAGTCCGCTTCTTTTGAAACACCTGCTTGCCTCCTCATTTTTCGATCTGGCATGACAGTTATCCCAGCCTTTCCTCACCCATATCGTTCCTTGATCGTCCGACTAAGGAGTGCTCGGAGTCTACAGCTACAAGCTCAGTACAGGTTGCCACTTGCTTTCATTCTTTTACTGTCGCCTAGTTTTCACTCTGGGTTCCTACAGCGGCTCAAAACGGTTTCACTACTCCTGCTTTCCGACCTCCGCCCGGGCTCTTGCCTTAACACATGGAGATTCATGGAGACACTCCCGTCTCACTCTCTTTTCACTATGCGGAGTTGCTTCGAGGCATCCCTGAGGATGAGACTACCTGCCGCCGCCTTCTCCGACTCTACGTTTACATGATCACCCGCCTCGGGCGCCGAGGGTCTAGTTTCCCCTTTGCGGTGCTCTCAACGGGCGTGCAATTGGCGCTCACTACAGTGCATACTTCGACCTTCTTGGATGTCTTTCTGGCACAACACCCCGTCCAACTCACGACTCCCTCCACTGCCTGGGAGCCAGGTTCACCTGGACCCCTGGCTGTTTCTACTTATACCGAAGAGGGCACCCACTTTTGGAACAGCTACGAGTGGCTCCGCGACGCACTGGACAGACATTGGGAGGCTGCATCACAACAACCGGCACTGTGCTCCCTCATTGATGATGTCGAACTTACGCTCATCGATCTCCAGCTCTCTCGTCACAGGCCGGCTACGTAGCACCAGGAGTGGACGTGGCCACCGCCTTCCTGTGGAGGTCGCACTTGCTCTTCGGTTTACAGCACTCCTAACACCCCGCCCAGTATAGCACCTTTCCACGGGTTTCACATTTTGCTTTCTCATCATGCACATAAACAGCTCCCGGATTGAAAATGGCATGCTGGCACTTTGGTGCGGTCCGTGCATATGCCATGTTTGAGTTGGCTTCTTGTTGACGCCATTGCCTACCTTCCGCCGGCCCAGGCCTATCGATGCGGCAGGACACTCAGTCACTCGATTTTGGGAGACCCTGGTTGATCCCACGTTGTCCGTTTCAGTTCTTCTCACATGCTGTACGCGCAAAGTGAAGAGGCATTGACCTGCCCTCAGGCCAAGATGAGGCCCCGCCCTTGGTGACCCCCATACCAGTTTGGACATGGGCATGAGGCCTCCTTACCACTACCACTATGGTAGACACATTCATGTCTGACATGGACAGACTCTGCTCACGCCTGCACCGGGTTGGTCGTTTGTTTCCTTTGAGGCTCCATGGTGGCCCGGCCCTCAGAGTCCACTGCACTTGCATTCGGCACCGCCATGTGAACGGATTGCAAGGCGTTCTACCATTGGATACATTGCTTTGGCCTTGGATCAACCTAGGTGTACACAGTGTAGGTCGGATCACCTGTCCCGCTTGAGGCGTCTCACCCATGTCCATGCTTCCCCCAACGTGGATCCCGCGGACCCCCGCTTGCTTACATCCTGCACCTATCCAACTTGAAGACAGCCCTCCGATAGAGATTGCAGATTCCCAGGAACAGGAGGCCAGCTCACCCCCCCGGCGTTGCCCGCTCTCACCTCCTAAAACCAGCCCCCCCAGAGCAGCCGACTCGACCCACTTGCACACTGCGGGAAAAACACAGCTGGACTCACCTAGCCGAGCCCCCACTCCGGACTCCGCTGGCACTAGGGCACCTGCCTCCCCTACGCTCCCCGCTTCACCAACCACCCCGGCCTCTCTCCCCTGGGCAACCCCCGATACACGCGGAGATCATGACCGAGACCAGGAACGGTCCTCTCTGCTTCGTGAGCCCGAAACTCCGTTCCTCCACCTGTGGCAGGACACCGCTGACCTTCAGTCTCTCCGACCTTATCACAACACCACGGAACAGGCACGGCAGCTACTGGAAGGCATTCAGGCAGCCCTCTTGCAGCCAGATGATGACCTCACCCATGTGGCTCCTCACTTGACCGAGCTACAGATCCTTCTTGAGCGAATTAAGGGGGCCACACTACGCCTCCCCTACACGAAGATTGAGCAACAGGTTCGGAGTTTCACTACGCCCTGTACCCACCTGGGCACCCTCGAGGGCACAGTACAAGCCGGGCTCTCCCTTTTCGGCTTCAAAGCCACCACGGATGCATCCACGCAAACCGAACTCCTGGTGTCACTTGTCTCACCAGCCTCGCACGGGCCGCTCCCGGCGCGCGGCAGGAAACGCCGCCACTGGACCCGCACCCCGCTCCCTGCTGGCAAGCGTCGAGCTACCATCCTTCGTACCACACAGGCAGCCCGGCGTAAAGTTCAACAATGGCTTCCTATGGGCTGGAATGAGGATGAAGCCGACCTCCTCATCACAGGCGAGCTTGACTACTCCGAACAACCAGTCCAGGAGCGCGTACGCCTCCTTGCCGCCCTATACGACTGGTGCGTTCTGGCCCCAATGGCCACACCACGCCGACTCAAGGATCACCCTCGCAAGGCTCGTACTCTCGCGAAACAGATGATTACGCATCTCTCGGATGACCTCAAAGCCGACCATCTCATGCTCACCAACGATTTGTTACTGGCCTTCTTCCTTGTCCTTGGACCCGATAGCCGCTTCTCGGTGGCCGAATTTTGCATGTTCCTCGACCGTCTCAGTTCGATCTTCGAGGAGCTCTGACCTTACCAGCAAGCCGGAGCACACCGCCATCGGTTTTGCGCCAGGGTTTCACCCCTGGCGGCAGCCAGGGGCGAACACCATTGATTTATTTTGCCAGTGCAGCTTTTGCCATTTTCAGTTGGCGGTTACTGCACCTCTTAGGAAGTTCGACACACCACGCGGAAAATCTAGACTACCCCACGATGTGCCGCCAAGGGATGCTTCGCCTCATGCCTTTTCCTTAGGAGTCGCCCAAGCCTTGCCGAGGCCCACACCTCCAGAAACCAGGCGGGCACGGCTACAGAGAGAGACGACACAGTTGACGATGCACGTACTCACTTGCTGCATGTTTCTCCATATAGCGGCTCAAATCAGGTTTGGTGTTTCTCCACAGATAGGACCTGGGTGTCTCACCTGACCATGACTGTCTCGGCCAACACCACGTGCAATCCCTGGAGTCACAAGCGCGCACACAGTGAGGAACCCCTCTCTCTCCTTACGCCTTCCGATGTTTGCGCCATTCAAGCACTCCGGCCCAGGGCGAAAAGTGTAGGCCGACATCCCACCCGCCCAGTTGCACTCACAGCCAGGACGAGTAAGCGACCTCTGGGAGGAGCAGAAAAACCAGACTCACACAGGTACACGGTCTGTAGGCCGACAGGTGCGACAGCGTTCCAAATGCTCTGGCGCATCCATGAATGGTGGGAGATCTACCAGCTATACCTCAACCGACGCGGCCGAGTACCGCCGAGACCTCCCGCAGGCGTGATTCACCCTCCACCTTTTCCCACGGGAAGATCCTCGGCCCCGGCTTCGACCTATTCGGGCCCCTGCAGACGGTACTCCCCGTGCCCTGCTCCGGAATTTGGGCCCGCGAATGACTCCGCCTCAGACGACCTGGTACTGGATGACCCCTCTATGGACGCGTATACATACCACGCCCCACTGGAAGGCGAGTCCACAGACGTGGAACTCTCAGACTCACCCCCGACTCACACCACCGCTGCTCCCGAGTCCGAGACTCTGCCGATCTTCCTCTTCGAGGCCGAGCACACGCCCCCGCGGCCCTATGCATTGCCCGAACCTGAAGCGGAACCACCTGTGAATGAGTCTCACACTAGGGTCCCCTTTCGCATGCAGTGGATTGCCCCCCGGAATCGCCTCCCGGCTCATACACCTTGGGATGGCTAACAAGGGACCTCTTTCTGGTATACAGCCTTTTCACCTCGCTGGCACCAGTTGCAGCCACGTGCTTGTCCGCTCTGGTCTCACCGTAGGCATGGCCGAGTTGGATGCAACAAAAATATGTGGACTTGCTCACGGATCCATTTTGTCGATTATTGCAGTTTGGATATGCGCAGATCTTCTCTTTCACTTGTTGCGCTTGGGTATGCCTTCGTGATGCCAGGCTGCCCCTGTGGGCGGCCCCCTCAGAACACTCACTGCCTACTACTGCACCCCGGATTGATGGTGCTCGCAGTTAGTCGCTTAGGGATATGTTTCTTCACCCTGCTTTCGGTTGCCCCTTGAATCGAACACGGTTCTGTTTTGATTTTCAGTTCAATGTCTTGTCACTCTCAGGTTTCTTCCAGCGGGACAGTCCGGCCCTCAGTATTGCTCTTTCACTCGATGACCGGTTGCATTTGGTCCTAGATGAACCGCTAGTTGACTTGGTAGCTCCCTAGCTTCCGGATGTCACTTCTGCGCATTTGGTTTCCTGCTTCACTGGTACAGGCCGAGACATTCTCTGCCGGGCACCCAAAGTGGCTATGCCCATACCAGTGGTGGTTTTTCTCTTTCGATCCATGTAGTTTTGGACTTCGCTTGACTGAGTTCAGCCCTGTCCCTGATCTGCCTTGAGTCCTGTGGTAGTTACTGTCCCTTCGGAAAGCCCGTTGTTCTGCCCGTTGCGCCGCATGTGAAGTGTGCACCCCGCCTGAGGCCTGGACGCATTGAGAGCGCGCTCGGTCTCACCAAATGGGCTCGCTGTCGATGACAGACCATGTCTCACTCGCGAATCGATTTCACCTCGTATGTGCAAGTCGGCTCCGGTTTTTGTTTTGTGCTCGCACTGGCCGCGGCGCTCCCGGGGACCTCCTCCCAAAATTCGGGGACGTGGGTGGGCTTTCTCTTCCGTATGGGGAGAAGGTCCCTGATGCCCGCCGCGGGCCGGCTTGTTGTTGTTTCGAGCCCACTTGCATGTCAACCTCGGCACATGCCTCTGTTCTCTGGGTGTCACTGCACGGATTGCGTGCGTGTCACCTCGGCGTTGGATCGGCTCTCACTTCAGGGTGTATGCCTTTGGTTCCCGTGCTTTTGGTTTCTATGGAGGTTTGTTTCCCCCTTGTTTGGCTCCTCGCCGTCCCTCGCAGGCCGTTGGGCGTTGCCGCATTGGTCTCACCCCCTCCGGGGACATGTGTGCAGCCCGACCCGGACTTCGGTCCCTTTTTGGCGTTTTCCTGTTGGTGTCATGCTTTGTCTCACCGCCGGGTCTTTCCTGCTGTGCCACGGTGGGGGCTGGCTTTGCTAGTTTCACCCCCTGCGTCGGGCATGCAGACCCACCTGGCAGGTGAGCAGTAACGTGTGGCTGGCCCCGCGGAAAAAAAAAAAACCCCTCTTCGGCACAAGTTTCCGCAAGTACACAGTCCGTGGGTGACCTTGAAAGCGAGGCCGGCTCCGCGGCTTCGGTCTTGGAGCGAGGCCGGCTCCGCGGCTTCGGTCTTGGAGCCCGCACCAGGCCCGCACCAGGGTTTTTTTCGGATGTGACTCAATTTGATTTGACCGATTTTGCCGGTCAAAAGCGAGACCTGCGCACGATGGAGCCAGTGGCCGAAATAACCGGCCACTGCTTCGTAGTTGGTGATTGAGACATCATCAGCTGCGTGCCTGGCGCGCTAGGTATCGAAGCCTCCACGTTGGCGTGGAATTTGTAACGGGGCATGTCTGTTTTTTTCCGACATGCCCTACTGCGGGTTCCGCTTCTGGACCTTCCGTTCTCGGAGTATGATGTGTTCCATGGAAGTATACCAGGAATTGAAGGATAATATCCTTCAATTCAAATTCCCTGCCCGGGTGGGGGTTCAGCGGCTTGGCGCGGCTTCAATGCCGGGCAGGTGGCGCGGCCGGGGGCTTCTCGAGCAGGGTGGTGCGCAGGGCGCCCTGGGCCGGGGAATTTGAAGTGACAGGTTTTAGCTTTCACTTGACCTGCGAAGTTGAAGGAGCTCACCGTTTGAGCTCCTTCAGCAAAGTTCACCAAGACCTCTCTGAAAAGGTGGTATGTCAGACATACCACCCCCCTAATCACGCGGATTACCACCAGGGAATTTGAAGAGGAGGATAATACCCTCCACTTCAAATTCCCTGGTGCAGGCAGGCTGGAGGGAGGCTATGCCGGGCAGGCGCGGCTCTGCCGGGCAGGTTCGCCAAAGGCAGTTGTCCCCCCACAGGACCACTGGAAAATTTTTTCACAGTTGTCGGCTTAGACGACAACATCGACATTTTTTTTGGGAAGAATCTCGACCTTGGCGTGGCAGGAGGCGTCTATGCCGGGCAGGCGCGGCCGGGGTGGAGGCTTCAATGCCGGGCAGGTTCGCCGAAACTGTCGTGTTAGACGACAGTTTCTGATTTTTTTTTCTGGGAAGAATCCCGACCTTGGCGCGGGTTCGGCAGGGCTCCGATGCCGGGCAGGCTCGGCTGTGAACACGAAGTGCCTCGGAACTTTGCCCGCACCAGGGACTTTGAAGTGAAGGATATTTTCCTTCACTTCCTGGTATACTTCCAGTACGACACGAACGTCTTGCGCACTCGCGGACTTGCCGCTGAACCCGTACTTGGGCGAGCCAGTTGGGCGAGCCAGTACTAAGGGGCAGGCGCGCACCTCGCTCTCGCGTCCTCGCTGTCCTGGAAAGCGGTAGGATTTAATGTGTCGCTCTGACACATTAAAATTCTCGTAATTCTTCATCGCTGCCCATCTGTGCCCAGCGCAGGATTCAGGGGCAATCCTGTGCCCACGCCAGGATTGAGTGTGGCAATCCTGTGCCCAACACAGGATTGAGTGAGCAATCCTGTACCCAACAGGATTGAGTGAGCAATCCTGTGGTCACGACAGGATTGACGGCAGGCCCGCACCAGGGAGGTGCGGCCGGGAATTGGCAGTGGAGGATTTTGTCCTCCACTGTATCGAACTCTTCAATGACGACACGAACGTCTTGCGCACTCGGACTTGCCGCTGACCAACCCGTTGGGCGAGCCAGTTGGGCGAGCCAGTACTAAGGGGTTGGGCGAGCCAGTACTAAGGGACCAACCTGCATCAGGGAATTTGAATTGAAAGATATTAACTTTCAATTTCCTGGTATACTTCCAGTACGACACGAACGTCTTGCGCACTCGGACTTGCCGCTGAACCCGTACTTGGGCGAGCCAGTTGGGCGAGCCAGTGCTAAGGGGTTGGGCGAGCCAGTACTAAGGGGTTGGGCGAGCCAGTGCTCATTGGGCGAACCCGTACTTGGGCGAGCCAGTTGGGCGAGCCAGTACTAAGGACCCGTTGGGCGAGCCAGTACTAAGCCGTTGGGCGAGCCACTCAACCACAGTGGACGCCTGCTTCAAAGCTGCGCCTTGGCGCTCCTACGGTGCCAGCTCGGCACGTGCCCGCTCGGCACATCTAGTGCCTGCTCGGCACGGTGCCTGCTCGGCACATTTAGTTACTAGTGCCCGCTCGGCACATCTAGTTACTAGTGCCCGCTCGGCACTGCTACTTACTGGTGCCCGCTCGGCACCGCCCTGCCTCGGAGTTCTCCAGCTCCAGGATGAACCTACGTACGGCCTGACAGGAAAAAAAACAGGGGGAGGGGCACGGGGTTGAGCCACATGCACATGTCATGCGAAAAGACGTGCAACATGCAACACCGTGCGAAAAAACGTGCAAAAACCATGCAAAATCATGCCATGCAAAATCATGTCATGCAAAATCATGTCATGCAAAATCATGCAAAAAACAAGCTGTTCCACATGCAAAAACCATGCAA